TGCCAGCATAATGGTAGTATACATGCTGCAAATTTGCTGCAAACCTATGATTGATTTTGCCGGCAATTTGTCAGCATATTGCTGACATTTTGCTATCAGGGTAATGATACAAATTACTGCGCCTCTGCCGTAAGAGTATCGACTGATTCTACTAGCAAAAGATAAGTTATTCTTGAAGCCAATAAGGATTAAATGTAATTTTTTAAATAATGATGTGGATACAAAATCTGAAGTTTAGAATTCGTATTTACAAATTACCACGCCTTTGTTGTAAGAATGTTAACTGATTCTACTGGCGAACAAACTTTACTTTTAAGACTAAAGGTAAACGTCCTAGTAATTGAACATGTACTGATAATTGAATTACTAATAATAATATATATTAATATATATTAATATATTAATATATATTAATATATATATATATATATATATATATATATATATATATATATATATTAATATATATATATATTAATATATATATTATATATATTAATATATATTAATATATATTAATATTAAAGCTAGCAGCGCAACTATTTTTTTTTTGAAAGGTATAATATTCCTATGTGCAAATTTAGTACAATTCTTTATTTTCATATACTTATTTTTCTTTTTCCTTTTTTTGTATAATCCTTCTGGCTTAATATTAATAATTAATATAATATTAATAATATTATTAATATATTCTATTATTATTGTTATTACTATTACTATTATTATTAATATTAAGCTAGTAACACTACTTTCTTTCTAAAACAGCATAAGAAACAAAATTTATTTTGTTGATACAAATTAGTATAAAATCAGTACTAAATAATGTAGTAGATCCGGTTTGATTCTACTGATTTAGTCTTACTAGTTTTCAAAAGGCTATGACTCACAGAAATTTTTATTGTTTTTTATCGTAACTTATCGTTTTCTGTATCAAATTCGAAAGAAATAATATTATTTTCTATCATCCTCTATCGTTTTCTGTTAAGAAAGTATTCAATTGTTTGAATATGATAAGCATTAAATCACCATTGACGCGACAGATTTATTTATGATAGACATCAACAAGACGATAAGATACGATAAGTTTCTATAAAATTTTTATCGTATTTAAAATTAATTTTTTAAAGACAAAATCACCTTTACGAAATTTCTTGTATAATCTTTTGCATATTTTATAAATCACTAAATTTTTACGATGCAAAATGAATCATTTTAAGTACTCCAACAGCTTTCCTATCTGCTGAAAAGTTGAGAAGAATGCAGTGCTAAATATGCTCTTTTATGGACATATCATCATATTTATTACTATTTTGTGAGGTTACGTTGTCTACTGCAATATTATTATATATTAATATTTTAATAATTGGTCTGTTTGTTTTAGAAAAACTTCTGCACTATCGTAATAAATTAAGAGTGTACCTCTTACAATCTAACATATTGCGCAATACTTTTTTCACTCTAACGTATAGCAGTATACTTTTTTCACTCTAACGTATTGCAGTATATATTTTTCAATCTAACCTTTCGCAGTAGTACATACTAAATTCAGAAATTCTTCGAAAACGGACAGATATAAGGTGTAGTAAAAAGAAATCCATTATTTTTGCATGAAATTGAAGGCTTTATTTAGCATAGTTAGAATGATCCGATTTAGGTCAAATATGCACCGTTTTGTTCGATAACTTGTTGCCATTTTGAAGGTAATTCCATTATGCCTCTCTCATAGAAACCCT